ATGACTCGGTCCTTCCCTCAAAGAGTTTACAAGCCTCTCATCACACGGAGCACAGAGCAGACAACTAGATAGTGCAGTGGATAGAGCACTGGGCCTGGAATAAGGAAGACCCGAGTTCATATCTCGCCTCAGACACTTACTTACTGTGTGACCCTGGGCAAATCACTTAACCCTGTTTGCCTCAGTTTCCGCATCTGTAAAATGAGCTGGTGAAGGAAAGGGCAAATCTCTCCAGTATCTTTGCCAAAAAAACCCCAAATAGGGTCACGAAGAGTCAGACAAAACTGAACATCACACAGAGCATTGTGGGCAGACTAGAACACAGGCCTCCTGCCCTCCCACCCACTGCTGCTCCCCTTCACCTCAGGAACAGGCCTCTTCCCTCCCTCTCCCTACACACACACACACACACACACACACACACACACACACACACACACACAGGACTGGGATGGGGATGGGGTTGCTGCATGGTACACGGCTAATAATTCTACCAATGATGTCTTCCAAGAGAGCAAACGTCTGGCTCCCTGGGAAGGAGAGCCGGCCACTCCTGCTGCCAAATGCCAAGATGATGTTGGCTTTCCAGGGGAGAAGTTGGATTGGACTGAGTCACTTTGAGTATCAAAGCATCCAATTACCACAGCTAATTAACACGGCCAACAGCGGCAAAAGATAGCTGCAGAGGCTCGGGCCAAGGCCACTCATCTCTGGCTGGTGACAGGAGGGTGGACAAACTCATTGGTCATGCACAGCCGTCCTCATGAGTCATCGACATCGTGGTGCCAGGGAAGGCCGAGGGCAGAGGGCAGGAGACACACAGACAGTCTTCCTTCCCTTGCAAGTGCTCCCCGGCTAAATCCTTCCTTCTCCTAGCCACCGTGTGGCTGGCCTCACACACCCCTGCCTTGATGTCTCAAATCTGTAAAATGGGCCTGGGGCTGCTAAAACAGATTCAAAATCCAGTAAGTAGGAGTGTGTGTGGGAAGATCCTAAGAAGATGTGGGTGAGCTCAGCCTTAGAGACTGTGGTCTAGAATTGGGGGGGTAGGGATGAGATAGAGACAGATGGGCAGTGCCCAAAGAGAGGGCAGGTTTCAAAGACCCAGATAAAGGGAAGCAAGGGACAGCCCACAGCCAACAAAAGGCCAGAGGAGAAGTCAGAGTAAGAGAGACAGCAAGCTCCTGAGAGGAAAATTTGGGTGATACACTCAGGACTACTAATCTAGAGTGGGAAGAGACAAATCCCTCTTTTCACAAATGTGAAGAAACCAAGAAGCCCAGAAGTGAAGTGACTTGTCCAGGGTGACACAGCTAGTAAGTGGCAGGATTTGAACACCGGACCCCAGACTCCAGAAACAGTTTTCTCTTACAAGTGATGTATAAATCATAGGATTTAGTCCTAGAAGGGAGGGAAACCATCCTTGAATCCAGCTCCTTCCTGAATCAAGGAATCCAAGCTAGAGAGGAACTCAGCCCCTAGCCACGCCCATGCCTGAATAGGAATGTCCTTTTTGACATCCCCAACAAGGCATCATCAATCTTTGATGGAAGGCCTCCAAGGAGGGGGAGGCAGGACGGTGACAATGCCTCCGGCTGCTCCTCACATCAGACCCTTGGTGTCTGAGCTCTCCCCCGAGCCTGCAACGTTCTCCCTCCTCTTCTCCACCTCCTGGCTTTCTTCCAGTCCCAGCTAAAGAAGGTTTTCCAGGCGCCCTTAACGCCAGCTCAGCCTGGACCTATCTTACACGTACATAATTGTTGGCATGTCATCTCCCCCACTGGACTGTGACTTTCTTGGGGGCAGGGATGTCTTTTGTACTCCTTGCTCCTGCTTCTGCTGTCTGAGGCCAAGCAGAACAAGGCCCATGTGGCTTCCCAGGCAGCCGTTCCAACCCTCTCTGGGGCTCTTCTCTGAGATAAACATCCCCAATTCCTTTAGCACTCCTGGGCCTTAGAACAGGGACTGGGAGGGCTGGGAGGGGCATTAAAGCATGGAATGTCAGAGCTGGGTGTGTCCTTAGAGAATATCTAGTTCATTATCCCTCCTGCTCCAGGCCCATTTTATAGAGGAGTAAACTAAGGCCTGAGAAGGGAGTCTTTGCACAAGGTGGCAGGGTGAGCTACGTGCAGAGTCCAGACTCCATCCCAGACTCTTTTATATATGCCACATTCTGATGCTTGGCGGTACCCAACACAAGATGCTCCCTTCCATTGGCATCTGTGGCCAGAGCCCTGTATTTTGGGGCATTTCCCACAGAGGGTCCTAGCATCGCCTCCTCCCCATTAGAACGTGCCCTCATTAATTGCACATTAATCAAACCCAGGTTGCCACAGATTACAATTAATAAGGCTGGAAGGATGCTGCCATGATCCACCTTGTCCAGGCCATTATTAATCAGCATTTTAACAAAGCCTAATTAGAGCTGCCCAAGGCTCCCACCAGGGAAGGCCCTCATTACCCAGTCCAGCAAATGGACAGGAAAGCTACCATGGGGCAGGGGCTTAGCAGAGCAGGAAGGATCCCAGTCTGGGAGGCCGGAGCCCTGGGTTTGCTGGGTGACTTTGGCGAAGTTCACATCCTCCTTTACCCTTTGTGGAATGAGGATAATGAGACTCATGATTAACCTCAGGCTCCCACTCCTCAGATGAAATGAGATGATGTAAGCCTTGAAGGACGATACCAACGTCAGCCATTCTCAATATACTACAAGACTATGAAGAGGAAAGGGGGAGGGAGAAGTGTCATGCCAGTTCTGCATCTCCTTCGGTGCGACCCCCAGGGCGTTACATACAGTAGGCACTTAATAAATGCTGTGGCATTGAATGGAGTGGAATGACCATGACTTGTTCTCAGAACCGATGTTATTTTTGTCCCTAGAAGGGGGAGGTTGAGTCAGGGTGGGTAGCCCATCTCGCCCCTCTCCTCCTATGTTCTCAACCCCATGTCAGTGATGGGAAGGGAGAGGAAGACGTCCTCACTGATCTCCTTGGGCTCTTCACAGATCTAGCTCCTGCCTCCTCAAAGCAGAACTCTTTCTATTTCTCTCCAAACCCCTCTCTCTCCCTCATTTTCCCATTACTGTCAAGGGTTCCACCATCCTCCAATCACACAGGCTCACGGACCTTGGCTGCCATCTTTGACTCCTCACTCTGGATACGCCACACATCCAATCTGTTGCCAAGGCCTGTGATTCTACCTCCATCCTCCTCTTCATTTACAGAGGCATCCAAAGAGCCAGAGGATGTCAGCGTTTGGGAGGGGCTTTAGAATGGGGAATGTTAGAGCTGGGAGGGGCCTTAGAACAGGGAATGTCGGAGTCTAGAGGGATGTTAGAGACCCTCATTCATCCTCATTTTATCAATGGAAACCAAAGACCTAGAAAGAGAAAGCTGAATATCCAAAGTCATAAAATCAATTAAGGTTAGACCCAGGCCATTCAGGTCCATTTCTCAGCCTCCTGTGGGCCTTGCGTTGGGGGAAGGGATACAGGAAGGGAAGAAGAACTGACCTTTGTCCTCCAGGAGCTTAGAAGATGTGGACAGAGGCCTGAAGAGGAATCTGTACATCTTCATGTACAAAACAAGATGGTTGGCTTTGACCACCATAGATCTCTTTCAGATGTTTGATCCTAGGACACACCTCGCAGAATTCTTGGGTGGAAAGGGCTCCTAGAGACCTTTAGCTCAGCAGGACCCTGAGTCATTATTCTGGAGGTCCATCATGGAGGAGCTGACCTCAGACAGGCCCCTGGCCATCCCCCAGGTCATCAGGTCACCAGGGCTTGATTGGAGGCGGTCCCGTTTACAGCCATGACATAGAAGAATGTGGTGGATTACAGTGCCTTGAGGTCATTTTATAGCACACACTATCTGCCTTGGTACCCATGCCTCCGGCTGCCATGGAAACCCAGCAGATGGCCAGGGATGGAGAGATTTGCTGAGCGCTGAGGCTGTTAGTGGGTAGCCACTAGGAACTTGAAATTAGTCCTAAATGCATCCTGGGCTTGATATGCCCACAGATGTCATATCCTGTGCTTGTATCTCTGTGACCTTTCCTTTTGGAAAGGAGAGCGAAAAGCTGGAGACCATCCAGAGGAGACAAGCAGGGATGGAGAAGGGACTGTATCAGAAGGCAGCTGTTTCCACACAGGTACAGCGCGGGGTTTGTAAATCAGCCATGTGCCCTTCAGAAAGAGATGACAGGTTCAAAAAGCCAATTTGCAAGGATAGGACAGGAGAGATGTAGCTAGACAGCAGGTATCTGATGAAGATCTGGGGGTCATTGTGGGCCACAAACTTTTCATGAATCAGTGGGGAGAAAGGGCAGTCAAAAAGCTGAGGTGATCTTAGGCTGCTCTGAAAAAGGTCTTCAGTCAGGCTGAGAGTTGGGTGGGCGGGCTGGGAAGGGCTAGAGGCCTCTGAGCTCTTTTAACTCTGAGAGTCTGAGGAAGATGGAAGAGGAAAGAAGCAAGAACTGGGAGAAGGGAGAGGAGGGGAGAAGAAGGGAGGGAGAGGGAGGAAGGGAGAGAGAGGAAAGGAGAGAAGAGTGGATATGGGAGGAGAAGAGAGAGGGGGAGAGGAGAGGAGATGGGAGGAGAGGAGAGGAAAAGAGATGGACAGGGGAAGAGAGAGGAGAGGGAGGGGGAGAGGAGGGAAGGATAAGAGGGAAGGGGAAGGGAGAAAGAGGAAAGGAGAGAAGAGTGGAGATTGGAGGAGAAGAGAGAGGGGGAGAGGAGAGGAGAGAAGAGGAGAGGGACCTTAGCAATGGGCAGTTCCTGCCAAGCTCAGGGCCAAGCTCAGCTGACTCACGTAAAACCAGCGTGTTTTCGGGGGTGAGTAAGGTAGCCTTCAGATCATCACTAGCTGGGCTCTCACAACCTCCCACAGGCACAAACATTCTCCTCCCAAGCTCAGCCCTTTACCCAAGTGAAACATGGAGTCCACCTGGTCTGGGTCCTTGGTCCCGCCTGCAGGTGCAGGCAGCCCTGGAAAGGATACAGGCCTCCTCGGTGTAGGGCACAGTGGCCGCAGTGCCCCCAATGATGTAGCTGAAGAAGGACACCTCAAGGGTGTAGCAGTAGGAGGTGTGGTCCAGCAGACCTCCCAGGAAGCGCCGGCCGGTTCCTGCCTTCACTGCATCCCGGTTAAAGGACGTGCTGGACTGTGGGGAGACAGAGGGGGCTGATCATTCTCATGTCAGGCCAGTGAACTGGGAGAGCCAGGGCTGGGGGGGGTGTGAGGGCAGGTGGGGGCGGGGGCAAAATAAACACCATTCGGAGGGTCTGGGTGTCAACTGCGTGCTGTGTGACTTTGGGTATGGTACTCCCCTTCTCTGAGACTCAATTTCTTCATCCACAAACCAATACGGTGTCTAATATTCTAGATCGGCTGGGGGTTGTCCTTTGTGCTCAAAGAGGACCCACATGACATGACTATGTCAGGGTCAATGTGTGGTGGATCAGACCAGTCCAAGCTCGGAGGGCTCCACCACAGGCTGGGCACAAACACTTCCTCATACTATCACCACAGACAGAAAAAGGAAGAAGTAACAGGTTTGGCACTGGTCCTGAAGAAGCTGGCTCTTGGTTGGATATGAGGGTAAAACAGGTGTGGGGAAAGTGTGTGTACAAAATTGTCCTTGGCCACCTATCTCTGGATGATGGAGGGGTGAGATGAAGACAGTGCTTCCGATTCCTGGTCTGCCCATGGACCTGCAAACCTTTTACCATCAACGGCTCTTTTTCTCAAAAGTCAAAGTCAAGTCAGCAAGCATCTGTTAAGCACCTACTATGTGCCAGGCACAGTGCTAAGTGCTGGGGCCATTGAGAAAGGCAGACAGCAGTTCTTCCTTTCAAGGAGCTCACAGTCTAATGGGGGAGAAAACATGAAACTTACCTCACCTACTGTCAACTTATTCACGTGGACCTGGAGTTCGCCAATGTGGACATTTCCTTCAGTGACAGATCTTGACCCATCTTTACCTGCCCCATTGTCTTGTCCTCTTTTGTCACAGAGGGTCCAACCAAGAAGCTGGGGGTTTCTCCCCTTCCTCTTGCCACTGGAAGGATCCCACTGGAATATGTGGGCTGCCCACCAGTCATCTCTTGCTTTCCCCATATCACTAGCCCCTCTTCTTTCTCTTTCATTCATTTTCTTTATAACAATGTTCCAGGGTCTGATACAACCAGGACAACGTCATCTTGAACTGAAACATCTGAAGCCTCTAGACCTTGCTATCCAGACACAAGGATGTTTAACCTTTGTGTGTCATAGATCCCTTGGGCAGGCTGGTGAAATGTATGGGCCCCATCTCAGAATAACGTGCTCAAATGCGTACAGTAAAATACATAGGTTTCAAAGGAAGCCAATTAAATTGATAATATAGTCACCGAAATATTTTTTAAATAAAGTGCAGGGACCCTGGGTTAAGAACCCCTGATGTATAGAAATTCATACTTTGACTCAGACTCTACACCATCTCTCCTCTATGTCAATGGCAAGCACATACTTTTTTGGTGAGCATTTCTCTACTGGTACTAACGATCAGATCATTAAATAAGGTTATGATACATTGGAAAGTATTCAGAGGAGGACAACCAAGAGTCATGAGTCCATGACTTATAAGGATATTCAGTCAGAAGAAGAGAAGGTTCAGGGAGCACATGACAGTGTCTAAGTAATTGAGGGGCTCACAGGGAATGGGGGTAAGCTTTGTTCCATTTGTCTCCAGAAGGTGGAACTTGCAGAGAGGACAATTTAAGCTTGATGTCAGGAAAAGCAGTTTAACAATTGGGGTATCTAAAAGTGGAATGAGGGGGGCAGCTAGGTCAGGCAGTGGATACAGCACTGGCCCTGAAGTCAGGAGGACCTGAGTTCAAATCTGGCCTCAGACCAAACACTTGACACTTACTAGCTGGGTGACCCTGGGCAAGTCACTTAACCCCAATTGCCAAAAAAAAAAAAAGAATAAATAAAAGTGGAATGAATTGCCTCAGGAGGCAATGGGTTTCCTCTCCTTAAAGGTCTTCAAGCAGAGACTGGATGACCCCTTGACAGGTAAGTTAAAATGGGAACCCATTTGTGTATAGATTGAACCAGATAGATGCTGAAGACTCTTCCAGCTCTCAAAATCTGTTGAAGTTCAAGTCTACTGACTCCACTGTCCTTGATAGTGAAAAGAACTCAGAAATACATTTGCAGATCTTTTCCACCTTTTGTTTATTTGGGGACCTTCCAGGTTCATCCTGAAATGCCCTGTAGTGAGGCTCCTTAGCTGAATCTCTTACTAACCTTTTTTCAAGCCAATTTTTCTCCCTCTCCTTTCCGCTTTGTGAGATAACATTACAAAATCTTCTATCATCCTCTATAAGATGTTACAAACAAGTTCACATTGTGAACCAGTGTCGAAAAACCCGTGAGCTTAACAACTGGCCTCTTCATTGGCTGCCTAAAGTTAGAAAGTCCCATAATGTCCATCTAATGTCCTCTTCATTTTAGAGATGAGGAAACTGAGGTTCAGAGAGAATAATATAACAACCAACAATTTCTGTAGTACTTTTCAGTTCACAAACAGCTTTGAAGAGATTGTATCTCTTGATTATCATATGTGCATGAAGTATGTGCTCCTCCTCCCTTTCCTTTTCCTCCTCCTCTTTGTTCCTATGTCCTGCTCCCTCAATAGCCTTTTCCCCCAGCCTTTTCTCTTCCCTCACTATAGATTCACTTTTATAGAACTCTCATTTGCTCCCACAGCATTAATGCCTACCTCCGTGCAGATGCCTCTTAGATCTGGATGTCTGACTTCTTTGCCCAGCTCTAGCTCTGAATCTCCAAATGCCTCCAGGTCATCTCCCCCCACATTCCCCTCTAGCAATCCCAAACAGGGTCTAAAACCTATCCTCATCTTGCTTCTTCCAAAACCTGTTTCTCCTTCCGGGCTGGGCTTTGAAGGAAGGTGAAAGTGGAATGGCTGTTCAATCCCACAATGTATTTCATGTTTTGATACTTTAAATTACAATTACTGTTACTGTTCTCTATATTTTAAGTCTTTGTCCAAGAGAGAAGCTCTCAGAGTCCTTATCCACTCAGCAAATGGGAAGAGAGAGACCACCAGAGGATGGAGTCACTCTCCTTTCAAGGTCTCATAAGTAGACCACTCTTCCTACATCAGTAGCCAATCTCCTCTCACACAGCCCCACAACCCCAACAGGAAGATCAAAAGACCTTCATGTTCTCAAAGCATGGGTCCTTCAAAGCTGAGCCAGAGTCCCAGGAAGTGGCCAGGGACAGCTAAGCTTCCTGTGGGCTCCTCAGGTCTATCCCCCTCCCTGCCCAGACCCACCCTTTCCAACAGGATTCACCCCCATCCCCTGTCTGGGCTCAGCCCAGGATGGGCATGAACACTTATGTGAATGTGAATTGAACTGAAGAAGAGAGAGGAAGAGGAAGCCCAAGATGGGAGATCAGGGCAGGGCAAGAGAGGGCAGCTTACAAAGGAGAAGTCTTCAGCATTCTGGCACAGGAGCTTGGGGAAGATGGCCTGTCTCTGGAACCTCTCCTCATCTTCAAAGATGTTGCCATACATGAAGCCGTTCATCATGGTAGAGTGTGCGTGGATGTCAATGTAGAACTCCAGGCTGGTTTTCTGGAGAGAGAGAGACAGAGACAGAGACAGACAGAGACAGACAGAGAAGGAGAGACAGAGATAGAGAGACAGAGATACACACACAGGCAGAGACAGAAAGAGGCAGAGAGACAGAGACAAAGACAGAGAGATAGACAGAGACAGAGAGACAGAGATAAAGAGACAGAGACACACACAGAGACAGAGAGAGACAAACAGAAAGGCAGAGACAGAGAGACAAACAGAAAGGCAGAGACAGACACAGAGACAGAGAGACAGAGACAGAGAGACAGAGATGGAAAGACAGAGGCACATAAAGAGACAGAGACACACAAAGAGACAGAGACAAAGAGACAGAGACAGAGAGACAGACATAGAGACAGACACATACACAGAGAGACACACAGAGAGACACACAGAGAGACAGAGATAGAGAGACAGAAAGATAGAGACAGAGACACATACACACATAGAGACAGTGAAACAGAGACAGAGACAGAGAGAATGTCAGTGACCTGGAGGAGACGGATGGCCTGTGAAGGGGCCAGCAGCCTAGAGAACGCAAGGAGGGAGGGGGGCCCTGCACTCCTCTATCTCAGGCAATGGAAACTGTCCTGGTTCGAGCACCTCCTAAGGGGATTTAGGGAGATAGCACAATTTTGGTGGGTTCAGGCATCTGGTTCCTGGAAGGCTTATACAGTCTCAGGGGGTGTAGTATGAAGAACAAGGCTGTGAATGAATGCAGGCAAACAAGTGCAGAGTCAGTCAGCTGAGATGTTAGGTGCTGGCTCAGAGTGTCCGTTCTAACCTTATCTGTCCATCCTGTGCCTTTAGGTTCTTTAACCCCTAAGATCCTGGTCTTAGAAGCAGCTGCTCCTTCACCTGTCACATAAGCCATTTGCACTTGACGACAGTCCCTCCCAGTCCTGATGTTCTCTTTTCTCTGTTCTAAGGTTCCTTCTAGCTCAGACATTCTCTGCTTTATGTTCTAAGACCACATCCCCCCCTTAGGTGTTGATAATCCATATTCTATGTACCGAGATCCTTTTTAGCTCTGATATTCCATGTTGTATGTTCTAGGGCCCTTGCAGCTCTGACATTCTCCATTTGAGGCCTCCTCCCATATCTGACATCTTTTCTTCTAGGTTTTATGCAAGTATCTAAGAAGTTCCCCACCTTTGACCAGTTCTAGCTGAAATTTCAATCTTATGAGGAGCATGTGGATGGGGAAGGAAGGCCTGGTGGCTGTCCCTTCAATCTCCAAAGCGTAATTTATTAGGTGGCCAATAATGAATCTGTGGCTGTCCATCTCTAGTAGTGTAGACTGTGAAGAGATGTTCAGGATGCCGCCCACACTGAGTGATATTAAACCCATCATTTTCAGCTTTATAGGTGAAAGACAGAATGATTTACCAGCAGCACTATATAAGTCAGCTTTGCTTTTTTTATTTCTTTCAATTGCCTGTCTTTCCCCTGAGCTTTTGATGATTGGCAGAGGGGGGAAAGCACTGGAAGGGAGATGGTGAAAAATGCTTATGGTCAGACTGTCATGAGGATCAGAGAAAGATGAGAACCTGCAGGTAGCTTGGAGGTCACCTGCATCACCTAGATCAACTTCGCTGGCTCACAAATGGGGAAACTGAGGCCCAGAACTTGATTTTGTTTTTTGTTTTGGTTTTTTTTGGGCTAGGCAATGGGGTTAAGTGACTTGCCCAGGGTCACACAGCTAGTAAGTGTTATGTGTCTGAGGCCGGATTTGAACTCAGGTACTCCTGAATTCAGGGCTGGTGCTCTATCCACTGTGCCACCTAGCTGCCCCCAGAACTTGATTTTGAAGAAGGAAACTTCAGTTCTAATCCTGACTCCTTCATCAGGTCTCAGTGTGATTGTAAGCACTGTTCCCTGATTCTACTTCTCATATATTAAATGAAGAAGTCTGAGTACATCATTTTAAGTTTCCTTCTATCTTTAACAGAATTATTCTATGGTCTGTGTTCTAAGTTCTCTTAAGTCCCCCTCAGCTCTGACATTCTTTATTCCAAGGCCTCTCCCAGCCCTGACATTCCCTGTTCTAAGATGGCCCCTGCCCTGACATTCCCAGTTTTAAGGCCCCTCCTAGTGCTGACATTCCCTGTTCTAAGGCCCCTCCCAGCTCTGACATTCCCTGTTCTAAGGTCCCTCCCAGCCCTGACATTCCCTGTTCTAAGGTCCCTCCCAGCCCTGACATTCCCTGTTCTAAGGCCCCTCCCAGCCCTGACATTCCCAGTTTTAAGGCCCCTCCCAGCCCTGACATTCCCTGTTCTAAGGCCCCTCCCAGCTCTGACATTCCTTGTTCTAAGGCCCCTCCCAGCCCTGACATTCCCTGTTCTAAGGCCTCTTCCAGCCCTGACATCCCCACTTCTAAGGCCCCTCCTAGTGCTGACATTCCCTGTTCTAAGGCCCCTCCTAGCTCTGACATTGTCTGTTCTAAGATCCCTTCCAGTTTTGCCACCCTGGGCTCTAAGGGTCCTCCCATCTCAAACATTCAATGGCTCTGGCTGCATTACTCTCTAGAGAAGACTGGGTCTTTCCTTATGACTTGTGAGCCAGAGGATGAACAGAAGGTACAAAACACATCCCCTTTCTTTCCTCCCTACAGTAGCTTGAGGATTTTAATTAAAGCCCAGTAACAAAGCAGGGGCCATTGCCTCACTAGGCCCACAGCTCATTGTGTCCTCAGGGACTTGAGAGGAGATTAAAATCAGTGCCAATAAAATTAAAACCACCTCAGGGCACATTTTCAACATAATTTAACCATGGAGTCAGTTTTTCTCCCCACCCCCCTTCCACTCCCAGAGCCAGGGAGGAAATGGGTTCTCCATCCATCCCCGAGACACTCTCATCCCGCCGCATTGTTTAGCAAAGAGTCCCCAAACAGGAGCTGAGAGACAGGATCCAGGCCTCAGCTCTGCTGCTCACTGATGCCCTGTGTGACACGGCTTATGTCTAGCATTATCGTTATTGTTGTTTTTCTTGATCTCAAAGTCAGCAAGAGGGAGAGGAAACAGCAGTTCTGATCCAGCAGAGCAGAAGTTTCTCAAGAGCAGAGACTGCTTCATTTTGTCTTTGTGCCCCCAGTGCCTGGCATGCAGTAATCAATTCATCAACAGTCTAATAACAGTTACGCATTACTGCTTCATGATTAAATCTTTTCCAACATGCATTTGTGAGTATTCCATGCACTAGACATTTCCTTTGTGGGGAGGATATAAGTAGCTGTCCCATACCTGATCTGCATTGTACATTGAGTATCTTTCTACTCTCCTTTTGGGGGAACACAGTAGACATGAGGCAAACCTAAATGTTAAGTGGTTCTCCCTGGGGAGGGAAGTGTCTCCACTCAACTGGGCACTCTCTGTTGCATAACAGTCTGTTCCATGATTGCTTCTCTTATCCCATTCCCCTCAGTGGCTGCTCCAAACCTCTTCTCCCTTCAAGCTTCTTACACCACCACTTCCAAGAGCCTCAAAGGAAAATGTGACCTTATCAATGCAGAGGTTCTTGCCAATGCTGTATATCACAACCCATCCCTGAAGGGCCATCCTTTGTGCCCCCAGCCATGAATAACACGTGTTTGTCGGATTGGTGGGAATCCTCCCACTGTTCTTATCACTTAATCCAGGTGTGTCAGACTCAAAGAGACAGATCCCTGAGGTCCCACATTGACTTAGAAAACCATAATTAACAACATCTATGTTGTGTTGTATTTTTGTTGATTTTGTTAATCACACTGGGGAATTTTGCAGCAGTTGGACGCCTCTGATTTAGTCCAACTCTCGAATGTTACTGATGGAAACTGAGGCTCAGAGAGGCTGTCACTTTCCCAAGGTTATTGAATGAGTTAGAATCAAACCTCAGAACTGTAATCACAAGGCACCATGGTCCCCCTCTCATGATCTTATATAATCTTACATGCTGGTTGGTTGATTGGCATGTATGTCTGTGTCCTGTTCCCCTTTTAGACTGTAAGCCCTCTGAGGGCAGAGATGATCTCATCAAAGTTTCCAGTCTCTATTCTCTTCCACTGCCAAGTATGGGGCTCAGCACACAGAAAGTGCTTCAGAAATGTTTGTTGAACAACCGAATGAATGAGAGATTCTGCTGAGAAATGAAGATTCTAAGAACATCAGATCTAGGAGGGAACCTTGTAAAGACTCCAGTGATGAGAAACTCATGATCCCTGAGGCAGTCTGTCCCGTTAGGAAACTGTTCCCATGGACAGCAAGTAAGGGCACATCAGAGAGAAATCACAGCCTGCCAGAGATGGGAGGGTCCTTGGAATATACAGCACAAACACAAGAAATGGGAACCTTCAAGCATAGATTAGAGAATGGCAGAGTTGGGAGAGGCTTTAGAAGACAGAATATGAAATCTTAGTATCATGAAGACCCTTAGAACATAGACCAAAGAATGTGTTCCTTCCCTTCCCTTCTCTTCCTTTCCTTTCCCTTCCTTTCTTTCCCTTCTCTTTCTTTCCCCTCTGCTTTTTCCTTCCCTTTCTTCTTCTCTTTTCCCTCCCTTCCCTCCTCCTCCTTCCTTCCCGCACCCTCTCTTCCCTTCTTTCCCTTCCTCTCCCTTCCCTTTCCCTTCTCTCTCCTCCCTTCCTCCTCCTTTCCCTTCTCCTTCTTCCTCCCACCACTCTCATCCTGTTGGATCCCACTGACAACCTCACTCCTGTCTACCAGAACTTTGAGATTTATAACCTGATTTTCTCACCTCCATGACAACAACCCTGTGTGTGTGTGTGTGTGTGTGTGTGTGTGTGTGAGTGAGTGATTTTATATATTATTATCCCCATTTGACAGATAAGAAAACCAAGGTTCAGAGAGGTAAAGGCCCCACAGCTGCATGCGCCACAGCCATATCTCAGACTCAGGTTTCCTGACTCCAAGCTGGCTCTTTTCCCAGTCCAGGCCCCAGGAAGTGGCTCACAGTTTTTCTCTTAGTCCATAATGAAAATGTTTCACTTCACTGAGCTCCTG